TGGCCAGTGCAAGCAGCATACTTCATCCATGATTCTGTTAAATGACCGTGTAAGTGAGGGGTAATTGCGTCATTTCAGGTTATCACCTTTTCTATATTTCATCCATGCTTGTTTTGTTCTTGATTTCAGAAGGCGTATACCTAAAGGAAATTTGTGTTTCAACCTAAACGGAAGCTAGCAGTAATCATTGAGAGTGATCAAGGAGCACGAATAACGTGAAAATGCTAAAAAGGAGTGCTTTGCTGATGCTGGAATGGGGGTCAATGGCAATTCAGAGAATTTCTGTAGTATTTATATACTAAAACTCTTAAAGTATATGTAGTTAAACATCTGTTTATGTTTAATCTGAAAACAATATTCTCATTGTATAAATGAAATTAGGCTTTGGCTTCGTTATTTAGCATGTGTTTTGTATTTTTAAGGACAATGATAATTTGCTAGTCTGAAGTTCTCTGCCTGCAATTATAACTGCAACACACTATGATTCAGAGTTTGCTAAAGCTTAAAGAGCATTCTGTTTTACTGCACATTTTCTGTTTGTTTCAAATAAAAAACTTTGCTTACTATCCATGCAAATATAATACCTACATCAGTAGTATTATATTCATGTCTGATGTATATTCATTTTGAGGTGAAAACTTTTCAAAGTGAATAGTTGCAGGCAGAATGAAAAGGTTAAAGGGGTCAACAAAAAGCACAATGATGAAGATAAAGGTACAATGTGAATTGTTTTGAATTCAAGCTTTATTACCTAATTTATTCGGAGTAAAAAAATAGATTTTCACCTATTTTTTGTTTGTCCCTGTTTTTGGTGGCTCTACTCATTACTGATTTTGTCCATCAATGTACTGTTGCTGTTGTTTTTTTTTTTTAAATGAAACCTGCATACAAATGGTGTAAGTATTAAAATTTTTCAGTCCAAACCACAAAGCCTAACTATTTCGTATTTTTTGAAATTTTAATTTTGCAATCCAAATTATAAACCCTAACAAATTCATTTTTTTTTATTTTGCCATACGTAGTAATAAATTAAATGAAGAAATATAATACTGTTTGTCTATAATACACTGAGCAGACGAAATTGAAATTACTTAGCTCTCTCTGAGATCTGTTGGCGTGGTCTTCTGTTTCTGTTGCTCTTTTCCCCATAGCAGTGATCAGTGTGGATAATAAATGGCCGATTTAGTCATCGGAATAGCTACGGTATATTATATACATGTGTGTGTGTGAGTGGTAATACTGAAAAAATTGGGGGATAGAGGACGGAGAAAAAACAAACCGGCGCATGCAGATGAAGAATCATCTGGAAACAAAGGTTTTCACCTCGCCGGAAAAAAACACAATCGGTACAAGGAAGGTAAAGGTGTGTAGGGGGTGCTGTGATCTCTAAAATCGTAGAGAGAAGACGGAGCTGTGATGCAGATGGTGTTCGTACTGAGACCATGCGGAGGAGGTCTTCGGATATGGGTGGGATGCAAAAGGTTTATCTAGGGTTTCTTTTTGGTTTATATATATGGGTTTTGGTTGGGGTTCGTTTTGGGCTTTTGAGTTGGGCCAAATAAACAAAGAATTATATATTTAAATATATGTATATTTTGAGCCAGATTTGATTTTGTGTTAAGTAAAGACATTATAGTTTAAATATTATGTTTTTTTTATCATTTTTTTTGGTTAGAAAGAAATGTAAAGAAACTATATTTTAAATGATGTGATTTTATATCATTTATTTTTTCGATTGGAATGAAAATGTCAATTAAGAAGTTTATATTTTTATTTATTTTAGTAACTAAATTAATTTATGTTTAATTGATGTAGAAAATATTCATGACCAAAATTGTCCTATTATTCATTGTGAAGACCCTGTATGGGTCTCATTTGCGGTGAGAATCATTTGTATTTGTTATTGTTTTATGGAATAATTAGTTTTTGATTATGAAACACTTTTTTTTGGTTAGATTTGAAATTTTTAAGTAGATTTCATTTGTACGGTAATATTCTTTAATATTTGTATACATTTCATATATAATTTTTTGTGCAGAGAAATGAATTGTATTGACATAAAAAAAAAAATGCGTCCTACGTATTAAACAATACTATGCACAAAATTGTTCTTTCTACTATTTAAATATGCTATATCTTTTTCTATTTAATAATTAATTAATTTTAATTCATTTTTTTAATTAGAAATTCAGAAAATTTTTGACCTAATAGTCTCTATATTAGATCCCATTTGATTTCAAATGGTTTTAAGGTACTTATTTACAGTGAAGAGTATGTTTCTTCAACGTCAAAAATTGTATACAAATAGGTGTTTAGTACTTTATAAATTTTTTTTGCATTCTTTCATGTTTGTTATATATTTATTGATCCAAAAACAAGTTTTGACTTTGTTTGAACATATATTTGTCATTGCATTATATATATGTATTTGTTGTAAGATTCACAGTATTGTATCTATTTGCTTACACACGCTCTTCTTGCTTTACATTCTTGGTGTCACGTATTTCTTCTTCCATATCTGCATAGTTGTAAAATTTATTATTCCACAAAAAAAAAAAAATTATAAATTAGTCTTTGTTCTTTTTTTTTTTAAATAAAATTATTCTCATGAAACATAAATTGTGTACTTTTTTCTGTCATCATTTGTCTTTAACTTTAGTTATTGCGTGACACACATGTTGTATTTTCATTATTTTGGAACTACTAAATTTTACAGAACTTTATGTATATATACATGTGATTATAATTATTGGGAGAATTACATATTAAAAACTAACATGCAATTATTTTCCAAATGCATATATATATATATATATATATATATATATATATATATATATATATATATATATATATATATATATATATATATATAAATTTTGTCGGTGCAACGCACGTGACAATTACTAGTACAGTAATAAAGGGGAGTCAAATTATTATTATTATAACTGCAATTGAGATTGAAATTGGCCCATTATTCGATCAAAATCTACCAAATTTCAATAACAGCTATGAACTTCACGTCATGGCATTAGGAGGTTGGGGGGAAGAGTAGAGGGGTTAGAAGCCCAGGAATATTTATTGGGAAACCTTGCAAGGCCAAATGGCAATGAAGGCAAAGGGGGGAAACCTGGAATATTGGGAGTAGGGGGAGGACCTAGAATATTAGGAATTTCAGGTGGTAATGGCAATGAAAGGGGAGGGGGGAGGCCAGGAACATTTGCTAATGGAAATGGATAAGGGGGAATTGGGAACGGGAGAGGTGGGATAATCAATGATTTATCTTGAGCAATATCACTTTTTTCTTTGAGTATACGAGCTTCGTTGTAGCTACTCATCATTGTCACAAAGACAACTACGCATACCAGAGAGAAAACCTTCCCTGAAAATTGAAAAGTAATTTTTCTTGATATATGTTTTAGTGTAGAACAAATTAAAGTATGAAAGAAAGAAAGAACAAAGTGAGTTGTACTCATTGGCTTCACTAACCAGTAACCATGCATTGCTTATATAGGCGAATGAAAATGTGGAATACTAATTTTCTTCACTTTCAGTATAAGTTTTGAATCCCTTTGATTCAGTGAATTAAGACAAAAAATATGAATATGATTCGTTAACACATTCTATTTATGGTTAGCAAATTAAATATTGCATTTACTTAATTCGCAAATGGTCTTAATTGGCGAATAAAAATGTGGAATATATTAATTTTCTTCACTTCCAGTATAAGTTTTGAATCCTTTGATTCAGTGAATTAAGACAAAAAATATGAATATGATTCGTCCACACATTCTATTTATGGTTAGCAAATTAAATATTGCATTTACTTAATTTGCCAATGGTCTTAATTGGCGAATGAAAATGTGGAATATACTAAATTTCTTCACTTTCAGTATAAGTTTTGAATCCCTTTGATTCAGTGAATTAAGACAAAAAATATGAATATAATTCGTTCACACATTCTATTTATGATTAGCAAATTAAATATTGCATTTACTTAATTTGCAAATGGTCTTAATTTGCAAATGTATTTTGTGGGCCACTTTTTTCCTTTGGTTAATAATAATAATAATAATAATAATAATAATAATAATTAATAATAATAATTAATATTAATAATAATTATAATAATAAGAGGGAGAAGAAGACATTTTTGGTCCTAGACTTACAGTGGCACGGACAATTTTGGTCCTCCATAAAAAAATTTGTCATTTTATGGACAGAGTTATTGTGACGAGGACATTTTTGGTCCTCCATCTGTAATTCTGTTAAATGACCGTGTAAGTGAGGGGTAATTGCGTCATTTCAGGTTATCACCTTTTCTATATTTCATCCATGCTTGTTTTGTTCTTGATTTCAGAAGGCGTATACCACAAGGAAATTTGTGCTTCAACCTAAACGGAAGCTAGCGGTAATCATTGAGAGTGATCAAGGAGCACGAATAACGTGAAAATGCTAAAAAGGAGTGCTTTGCTGATGCTGGAATGGGGGTCAATGGCAATTCAGAGAATTTCTGTAGTATTTATATACTAAAACTCTTAAAGTATATGTAGTTAAACATCTGTCTATGTTTAATCTGAAAACAATATTCTCATTGTATAAATGAAATTAGGCTTGGTGGTTTCGTTATTTAGCATGTGTTTTGTATTTTTAAGGACAATGATAATTTGCTAGTCTGAAGTTCTCTGACTGCAATTATAACTGCAACACACTATGATTTCGAGTTTGCTAAAGCTTAAAGAGCCTTCTGTTTCACTGCACATTTTCTGTTTGTTTAAAATAAAAAACTTTGCTTACTATCCATGCACATATAATACCTACATCAGTAGTATTATATTCATGTCTGATGTATATTCATTTTGAGGTGAAAACTTTTCAAAGTGAATAGTTGCAGGCAGAATGAAAAGGTTAAAGGGGTCAACAAAAAGCACAATGATGAAGATAAAGGTACAATGGGAATTGTTTTGAATTCAAGCTTTATTACCTAATTTATTCGGAGTAAAAAAATAGATTTTCACCTATTTTTTGTTTGTCCCTGTTTTTGGTGGCTCTACTCATTACTGATTTTGTCCATCAATGTACTGTTGTTGGTTATTTTTTATTTTTTTTTATTTTTTTTTATTTTTTTTAATGAAACCTGCATACAAATGGTGTAAGTATTAAAAATTTTCAGTCCAAACCACATAGCCTAACTATTTCGTATTTTTTGAAATTTTAATTTTGCAATCCAAATTATAAACCCTAACAAATTCATTTTTTTTTTATTTTGCCATACGTAGTAATAAATTAAATGAAGAAATATAATAATGTTTGTCTATAATACACTGAGCAGACGAAATTGAAATTACTTAGCTCTCTCTGAGATCTGTTGGCGTGGTCTTCTGTTTCTGTTGCTCTTTTCCCCATAGCAGTGATCAGTGTGGATAATAAATGGCCGATTTAGTCATCGGAATAGCTATGGTATATTATATACATGTGTGTGTGTGAGTGGTAATACTGAAAAAATTGGGGGAAAGTGGACGGAGAAAAAACAAACCGGCGCATGCAGATGAAGAATCATATGGAAACAAAGGTTTTCACCTCGCTGGAAAAAAACACAATCGGTACAAGGAAGGTAAAGGTGTGTAGGGGGTGCTGTGATCTCTAAAATCGTAGAGAGAAGACAGAGCTGTGATGCAGATGGTGTTCGGACAGAGACCATGCGGAGGAGGTCTTCGGACATGGGTGGGATGCCAAAGGTTGATCTAGGGTTTCTTTTTGGCTTATATATATGGGTTTGGGTTGGGGTTCGTTTTGGGCTTTTGAGTTGGGCCAAATAAACAAAGAATTATATATTTAAATATATGTATATTTTGATCCAGATTTGATTTTGTGTTAAGTAAAGACATTATAGTTTAAATATTATGTTTTTTTATCATTTTTTTTTGTTGGAAAGAAATGTAAAGAAACTATATTTTAAATGATGTGATTTTATATCATTTATTTTTTCGATAGGAATGAAAATGTCAATTAAGAATTTTATATTTTTATTTATTTTAGTAACTAAATTAATTTATGTAGAAAATATTCATGACCAAAATTGTCCTATTATTCATTGTGAAGACCCTGTATGGATCTCATTTGCGGTGAGAATCATTTGTATTTGTTATTGTTTTACGGAATAATTAGTTTACCCAATTCCTTCGAATTTACCCAATTTCTGATCAACTTGCTTTTTTTGCCACATTGTGCTCCTTTGGCTTTGAACATCGTGCTCCTTTGACTCGAACATTGTGCTTTTCTGATTTGGTCACATTGTGCTCCTTTGGACACATCGTCCTTGTTCACATTGTGCTCCTTAGCACACATTGTGCTTGTCAGCACACATCGTGCTCTTTTTAATACATTGTGCTCCTTCAATAGCATTGTGCTCTTTTGGTAGCATTTTGCTTGTCCGAAAACTTGACTTGTAAAAATAAGTCCTTTGGGGGAATCGAGCTCGGGTGTGATCGTTTTGAGTAAGGACTTCTACCATTTCGCCGTTAGGCTCATCCAATCATTTTTTGCAATGCCATTCCTTTATGCTTCTTTCTCAGATAAATACTCGTAGGACCAAAATTAATTTCTCAAATTAATTTTGTTCTTCCTATGGTAGATTCCTTTTGACTCGATATTCTGATTTATGATGCTTGTACTAAAAGACCTAAAAACTAAGGGGATCTAAAGTACATTTGGCTCATCAAAACTTACAAAAATATTCCTATCAATTTTCCCCCTTTTTGATGACGCCAAAACCTATACTCAGTCATTTGACTTGTCTTTTAAAAACAATTATTTTTCAAAAGATTTTATTAACTTAGACATAGCCAAGACGAGTTTAACATTTGATTTTAACTCTAAGAAAGGTATTTTTAGCAACTAAAATTCCTATTCGCATTTTTGGACTTTAATAATAATGAATTTTTGCATTTTTCCAATTTATGCGATTTGATACAAACTAAGCTAAAAATGTTACCTTTCAAGACAAATAAAATAAATAACAAGGAAAACTAGTAGCATCATAAACAGATAATTCGAATCATTCCAAATTGTTCATGGGTTCATGTTTCTCGTGGACCATACAAAAACAAATGTGACAATCATACAAATCATCTAATGACTTTGTTTCTCCTCTCTTTAAGCACATGATTTATATGATTTTGAACATCAATGAAATTGTCACTAATGGCATAATTGTTGCATACCTGCCCAACTGAATAATAGTTGAATGCTTCGATGATGTTGTTCCCGGGCAGTATACCTTCTTCATACCATATGATGCATTCTTCTAGGCTTCTTCCATTTTGTAGCTCGGCATCATTGACCTTGATATAGTCCTTTAGCATCAAAGCTCTAGCATAGCTTTGGATTCTTCTGAAATTCTCGTTTGAAACCCATAAATTTTGATCACTTGGACCACTCTTCTTCATTCCTTTTGGTAGATCATTCAAAGTCACCAACTTTGGCATTTCAACTCTACCATCTCTTGGTGTGGATTCCAAATAGAGAGCTGCACGGTTATACCAATTAATTTTCTCAATATTTCCTCCTGCACAAACAATGTCACGAAAAGAACGATTAGTGGTATTTGCGCTGCTTGATCCTCCTGGACTGCCAGCCTCACCACCACCGAACCAATATTCCAATCCTCCTCTTCTAGCAACATTTCTGCCAGCAGATCTGCCTCCTCCACCTCTACTACTGCTTGTACCAACATTCCGGGTGGCCATGGCAGTCATCATCATCTCAAGCATGCCTTCCAAATGACTGAATCTCTCTTCCCCCTTTTTGGCGTAATCAAGGAGTGTATGAACCGATTCACGAAGAGATGAAATAGATTCGGAAATGTTTTCATATGATCCCCGAAGGCAGCCCACTTTGGTGTTGACGGAGATGAGATCCGTGTGGACATCACTAATCTGCTTCTCATGTTGATGAACAACATTGAGAATTCCTTGGCTTTGATTCACGGTAACTGCTTCATTTGCCTTTCCAGAATTCTTGAGGATTTGAGAGAGTTGGATGTAGAACTCATTGAGTTGCCCCTTGACATTTGCATTCAATCCTCCAACTTGTCTCTCAAGTGCTTGGTGGGTGTCGATCAAATGTTGTTGACTCCTCCGATTTTCATCAAAAGATGTTTCAAATTTTCCACCTTGAGTATTGACAACATGATCCACATGAGTGTAGATGCCTTGAAACATGCTTTCCATTCGGTCAACAAGTCTTAGTACAACTTTCTCCAGATTTTCCAATTTTTCCTTTGAGGTTGTGCCATCAATGTCTTGCTCTTCTCGTGTTGTGGGAACACACCTTGCTCCTTCTTGAGCAGAATTGACTTCAAGCATGTGAGATTGTGCTTGATTTTCCACTTGATATCCTTCTCTTTCCGGTGTGTGTAACACGTGCGTGTCACCTTGTGCACTTTCTGCATGAATGGATTGAATTTCCTCCGTGTCTTGGCTTGCTTGCATGGCATTTTGATCTTGACTTATTTCAGTGAAATTCAAAACACTCACATCATATAAGCCACTGTCCATTAAATGTGCACCACATGTGACATTTACTTCTTCTACATTCCTTGTGACAAATTCATCAATGTCAACTAAGAAATCATCTTCCGTAGGCATATCTCCTTGGACTGTGACATCAACAGTAGCTTCGGCCAATTTAGCTTTCAATTTATTCACAAATATTCCATTCACCGTAGACATCAAAGTTGCATGGCCAACATCAAAATTACCAATCCAATTCAAGGAAAATAATTCTTCTTCTTGCATACTCGGTCCTTTTGTTATCAAATCTTGATAAGAACCAAGTCTCTATTTTCTCCAATTTAAAACTCTTCGGTATTCATTCACTAATACCAAATCAAGTCCATCAACTTGATAAATCTCCTCATTCATTATTGACTCTATTTCGGCAATTTGGGAAAAAGGATTTAATAAACTTTGGCTTGTGTTTGGATTTTGGCTTGTGTTTGGATTTTGGCTTGTGGTAGGGTTTTCATGGGATTGAGTTGAGGGTTGAGAAGATAAATCAAGAATTTCTACAGTTGGCCTTTTCCTAGCAGGAATGCCTCTCGGTTTCCTTTTTCTCTTGGAGGTCAAATTAGTTGATACTTCATGATCCTTAAACAAAATTCGGTTACTTCCAAAAGGCTTTCTTGATCTCATTGGTAACCCTTTCATTTTTATAATTTCACCAATAAGCAAACCGAACCCTAGGATGCGGTTGAACTTCCCATTCCTAATTTTCGCACATTTCACAAAATGTGCAATCCGGCTCAAGATAAGTTTACTCCAGTCACCCCTAACTCCATTCATCACAGCATGCAAATATCCAATTCTCACGGGTGATATATCCATACTATTCAGTTTGCACAATACACATTTATAGAGAATTCTAACTAGCATCTCATACTCAAGCTTCAAATCAGATTTTTGACCGGAAAGATTTGGTTCGAGAGAAGCATTCTCATTCCGAATTTCTGTCCAAATTTCCGTGTGATCATATGTGTGAACATCTAAGTCCAACAGTGGTTGTTCTGGACTAGATATAGGCAGTCCAAAGGTTGTGTGCAACTCTTGTTCATCAATGGTGATGAGAGTTCCATTCACGGTGGACTCAATGGTCCATCCAACAACCTTGGCATTCACATAAAAATCTGCTACATCTTCATCATAAAATCCTGAGTATGGATAAGAACATAACCTCATGAGATTACTTTGTTAAGTGCATGGATGATTCTTTGTGCAAGATGTGAGTTCTTGGCTTCTTTGAGAAATCCTTGAGGGTCAAAACTTCCTCCGGCCTTGATTCCAACTGCTAGCTTCGTGAGGTTGAGTTGTGTAGAGTGTTCTTCATTCGGTTGAGAGCTTGAATCTCCAATGGTAGCCATAATGTGCTTGGTATTTTTAGAGATTGAGGGATTGAAGATTTTGAAAGAGATGAAGATTGAGTGTTTCGGCTATGGAAGATGAAAGGATTTTGAGAGTTTTGAGTGTAATAGTGGCTCTTCCAACCGGTTGGGTGGAAGAAAGGTGTCTTTACACAAATATCCTCACAATTAAATGTTGACTTTAAATAAGTGAGGGGTATTTTTGATATTCCAATAGCTTCCAACCTTTGACCTAACTGATAGTTAGTTTAGGTTATATATTCTCCATCCAATTTGTCTGCTGATGTGGCGCCAAATATTTAGATACTCGGACTGATTTTACCTGAAATAAAATTCATGGAGCACTAAATCTGTCCGAAAATAATATGTATTTATCTACACGTTTTATGTAGATGGAAGAAAGAGAAATCTATTCTTTCTAGACTATTTATTATGCACAACTACCATAAAAAGGTGTTCTTATTTAAGGCAACTTATCATCATACCATCTTGTCACTCTTAAATGGTAAGATTATGTAGATCTAAATGATTTTTATTTGTGCATATATGTATGTAGATACACGGTTGAAATAGAGATACATGCAATTGAGATAGGTAGACTTTAAATGTAAAGATGTGACAACTTTTGCATGTGTGACACATAGGCACGAAATAAAATTAGATAAAGTATCAAAATTTCAGATGAAAATTGAGCTTATAATTTAAATAGAGTTTAGAGACTTAGCTCAATTCAATCATGCCCATCTCGTGTCTTAATTTCGAAAATCTTGATTCACACAGAGGCTTTGTGAGAATATCAGCTAATTGATTCTCGGTCGGGATGTATTCAATTGATAATTTCTTCTTTTCAACATGATCCCGGATAAAATGATGTCTCACATCAATGTGTTTTGTTCTTGAATGTAACACGGGATTGTGAGTTATAGCTATGGCGGCACTTGTATTGTCACACATTATGTTGACATTTTCACAATTCACGCCATAATCTTTCAGCTGTTGTTTCATCCAAAGAATTTGCGCGCAACAACTCCCAGCAGCTATATATTCAGCTTCGGCTGTACTCGTGGCTATGGAGTTTTGCTTTTTGCTGAACCATGATACCAATCTTCCCCCTAAGAACTGGCATGTCCCTGAGGTACTTTTTCGATCGATTTTACATCCTGCAAAATCTGCATCTGAGAAACCAGTTAGTGTAAAATTACCTTCTTTGGGATACCATAATCCCACATTGACCGTTCCTTTTAGGTATCGGATGATTTTCTTGGTAGCAAGAAAATGACTTTCTTTTGGCTTTGACTGGAACCTGGCACATACTCCCACTGAATAAGATATATCTGGTCGGCTTGCAGTGAGGTATAGTAATGATCCAATCATTCCTCGATATTTTGTTTCGTCAACGTCCTTGCCTTCAACATCTTTATCCAATCTTAAAGATGTGCTCATCGGGATCTTGATTGAGGATTTTCCATCTTGACCGAATTTCTTTATAAGATCTTTCGTGTATTTGGCCTGATTGATGAATATTCCTTCATTGAGTTGCTTTACTTGTAATCCAAGAAAGTAGTTCAACTCTCCCATCATGCTCATCTCGAACTTATTCTGCATTAGCTTGGAAAATTTCTCACATAAAGTTTTATTAGTACTACCAAATATAATATCATCGACATAAATTTGTACCAATAAAATGTGATCATTTTCTTGAATTCTAAACAAGGTTTTATCAATAAGGCCTTTTGTAAAACCACAGTTAATTAGGAACGTTGATAGAGTGTCATACCAAGCTCTCGGTGCTTGTTTTAACCCATATAACGCCTTCTTTAATCTGTAGACCTTATTAATATCACCTTTTACCTCGAAACCGGGAGGTTGCTCAACGTAGACTTCTTCTTCAAGTAATCCGTTCAAAAATGCACTTTTCACGTCCATTTCATAGACAATGAAATTCTTGTACGCGGCATATGCTAGAAATATTCTGATGGCTTCCAGTCTTGCAACGGGTGCAAACGTTTCATCGAAATCTATGCCTTCTTCTTGTGAATATCCTTTTGCCACTAAGCATGCTTTATTTCGTATGACAATTCCATCCTCATTTGCTTTATTCCGAAAGACCCATTTTGTTCCAATTACATTGTAATTTTCAAGTATTGGAACTAATTCCCATACGTCACTTCTTTTAAATTGATCGAGCTCTTCTTGCATTGCATTAATCCAATCTGGATCACTTAGAGCTTCTTCAATGCTTGTGGGCTCCACCTGAGAAAGAAAACAAGAAAATAAAGTATGTATATTTGAGGACCTTGTTTTTACTCCTTCTCGTGGATCTCCAATCACTAGCTCTGGAGGGTGATTTTTGAGCCATCTCAAGTCATGTTGTAGGTTGCATGGGCTTTCCACGTTTCCTTGTTCAGTCGGTAAGTTGGAGGTAGACACATTTTGCTCATCAGATTGTTCTCCAACTTGCATTTCAACTTGAGAATTTTGATTTTCCACATGTGAATCTCCATTGACTTCCACGTGTCCTTCACTATTGCAATCAATGTCCAATTGCTCCATACCCTGTACAGTTTGATCTCTAAAATATATGTCAGTATCATTAAATGATTTTTCAACTTGACAACTTTCCTGATCATTTTTGTTGCTCTGGGTTTTCTTCTTATGAGCTTCATCAAATGTAACATGAATTGATTCCTCTACCACCATTTATTTCTTGTTCAATACTCTGAATGCTTTGCTGGTAGATGAATATCCTAAAAATATTCCTTCATCTGCACGCTCATCAAAAGTCTTTAGATATGTTTTACCATTATTGAGAATAAAACATTTGATGCCAAAAATATGAAAATAATTAAGTTTAGGTTTTCTCCCTTTCCATAATTCGTACGGAGTCTTATTGTAAGACTTGTGTATCAAGCTCCGATTTTGCGTATAGCAAGCGGTGTTGATTGCTTCAGCCCAATATCTTTTAGGTAGCTCGGCTGACGTAATCATCACTCGTGCGGCTTCTTTTAGCGTTCTATTTCTTCTTTCGGCTACACCATTTTGTTGCGGTGTACGTGCGGCAGATAATTGATGTAGAATTCCTTGAGAATATCAGTAGGCTTTAATTACTTGATTCACGAACTCTGTTCCTCGATCAGTTTGGATTTTTGCAATTTTCAAGTCTTTCTCGTTTTGTAGCAGCTTGAGTAGTTCTGGCAGCTTTTGCTCGACTTCGTTTTTCTTTTTGAGAAATATCGTCCATGTGTACCTGGAAAAATCATCAACAACCACTAGTGTATATTTCTTAACACTTAGACTTACAGGGTCTACTGGACCGAATAGATCCATGTGTAGTAGACTCAGCGGTCTTGTTGTAGATTCTTGGGCTTTGGATTTGAAAGATGACTTGATTTGCTTTCCTCTTTGGCAAGCATCACATATTTGAACTTTCTTGTAGACAATATCCGGTAGACCTTCAACGAGTTTGTTTCTTGCTAGCTTGTTGATAGTCTTGAAGTTTAAATGATTCAACGTCTTGTGCCATTCCCAACTTGTTGCGTGTGAGTTGTTTGCTAGTAGACACACTGATTCTTTTGTGTCTTCCAATCCACAACATACATATTTTTCTTCCTTATTCCTTCGAGCACAACTTCTCCCGAGGAATTATTCTTCACTTGGCACTTGTCTTTGAAGAACTCAACTAGATATCCTCTGTCACAAAATTGACTTGTACTTAACAAGTTGAATTTTAGACCTTCAACAAAGGATACATCTTCGATTTTCAGACCATTTCGACAAATTGTACCAATTCCTTTTGTTATGCCATATCGTTCATTTCCACCGAATACGACTTTTGGTCCTTCGATATTTTTAAGATTCACAAGACTAGATTTATTTCCAGTCATGTGTCTAGAACATCCACTATCGAAGTACCAAACTTCCTGCAAACAAATTAAACATTTTTAGGTACCCAACTTGATTTGGGTCCTTGAGTGTTAGTCATTTTTGGTACCCAAATCCACCTTGTACTCACTGATCTAAGCTTAGGTGATTGGTAACCATTAAACACATTATAATCATAATTAATTTTTGAAAACAATTTTTGTGCCGGTTTTTAAAAATTGACTCGATTTTTTGGCACTTGGGGGGTAGATTGTTTGGGCCTAGGATTGGCATTAAATCTGGACTTAGTCCATGGTTTAATATAACCAACCCAACCTTGTTTTGAGGGATAAAATCTCCTTGCCTCAATTCTTGGATTCCTTCCCATTTTCCTATGAGGGCTTTGTGCACTAGACTCATTGGTGTGTTTCCATTTAGGAATAAACTTTTGCCTTTTTGTATACTGTTTAGGTGAAATAATATTTCTTTGGGGCTTCGGCCTAACAGTATTAATTTTGACATTCGTTTGATAACCAATTCCTTGTCTCACTGTGCTTTCTTGACCTTTTACAAATTTTACTACTTGGACTTTATTACTTAAAGTAGTAGTAGAATTGGCCAAGTTCTTGGAGGCTTGAGAACACGATGGATCATAACCGAGTCCGGTTTTATCACTTGAGGGTTTTTGCATATTTACCATTTTGTCCATTATTTTGGATGAATGTGTAAATGTTGCTATAACCTCTCTAAGGTTATGTTCTCTCACTTCCTTTGATTTACACTCTTCTTGAAGACAAATAATTTTATCTTTCAAGTCTTTCACTTCAAGTAGAGCATTTTGCAATTTCTCATTTATTTGATCTTTTTCGAGAATCAAAAGACAATTGCGCTCTTTGAGTTGAGAATGAGTGTCCATTATGGTTTGACATTCTTCCATTAAGTGAAAGAAGGACTCTCTAGAAAATGAAGAATTGACAGAATCATAAGAGTTAGATGTTACCTCATTTTCTTCATTTCCATTTGCCATAAGACACATGTCCTCGTAGGGTGAGTTGTTGGAGAAGCTCATGCAGAACATTGCATTGTCATCCTTTGAGGTGTCACTTTCATCACTTGAAGATTCTTCTGACTCACTTATCTCAAGTGGGTCACTAATAAGTGCTTTTCTTCTCTCCTTTGTGAACCTTTTATCTTTGGGCTTGAATTCTTCCTGTTGAGAGTTAGTATAGTAATATCCTCACACACACATATATATAAATTTTTCCGTGCAACGCACGTGACAATTACTAGTATAGCAATAAAGGGAAGTCAAATTATTATTATTATAATTGCAATTGAGATTGAAATTGGCCCATTATTCGATCAAAATCTTCCAAATTTCAATAACAGCTGTCAACTTGACGTCATGGTTTTAGGAGGTTGGGGGGAAGAGTAGAGGGGTTAGAAGCCCAGGAATATTTATTGGGAAACCTTGCAAGGCCAAATGGCAATGAAGGCAAAGGGGGGAAACCTGGAATATTGGGAGTAGGGGGAGGACCTAGAATATTAGGAATTCCAGGTGGTAATGGCAATGAAGGGGGAGGGGGGAGACCAGGAACATTTGCTAATGGAAATGGAGAAGGGGGAATCGGGAACGGGAGAGGTGGGATAATCAATAATTTGTCTTGAGCAATATTACTTTTTTCTTTGAGTATACGAGCTTCGTTGTAGCTAATCATCATTGTCACAAAGACAACTACGCATACCAGAGAGAAAACCTTCCATGAAAATCGAAAAGTCATTTTTCTTGATATATGTTTTAGTGTAGAACAAATTAAAGTATGAAAGAAAGAAAGAACAAAGTGAGTTGTACTCATTGGCTTCACTAACCAGTAACCATGCATTGCTTATATAGGCGAATGAAAATGTGGAATACTAATTTTCTTCACTTTCAGTATAAGTTTTGAATCCCTTTGATTCAGTGAATTAAGACAAAAAATATGAATATGATTCGTTAACACATTCTATTTATGGTTAGCAAATTAAATATTG